CAGAAATGAAGATTTTCCAGATCTGCCTTTTATTTTCAAAAGAATGAGATGACTATAGAGATGACATTGAATCCTTGCGTCCAGAATAGAAGCCTTCGTGGGCCACTCACCTTGAGGTGTGCTCCATGGTGGTGCTTCTCCGCCCCCCGCCCCCCCTCCCCCCTCGCTGTAGACCGGCATGCTCCACGTCTCATGTGAATCTTCTCTGCAGTATATGGCCAAGTTCATCAGAAGGAGCTTGCCTCCCTGGGGCATGAGTTCATTGAGGTATCTCTGTAATAATTCCTTTTCCAAATGCTCTTCCCATAAGCTCATTAGCCATTTGGAACAGTTAGTAGCCAGTGGATCTTGTCAGGGTGCCCGCGGTCCTAGCAGCCAAGTACTCAGGATCAAATGTGTTCAAGCACAACTCTAAAATCCCATATGCTGAGTATTGGGTTACTGGGAAAGTCTACTCTTCACTTAAGAAAGCCTGCTCTTCAATCAAGACAGCATTTTAAATCAGAACCCTATTCCCCTTTTCTTTACAGCTTCACAGCCAAACATCAAAGTAACTGAATTTTCACTCGTAATTATTGTTACAACAGCATTAATATTTGTCTCTTCAAGGCTGTGATGAGTGTATGGTTGGACAGATTCTGGTTAATGCCTTCTCCTTAGTTCTCTCTACGCTTCTATTATTTTCAGTGGAACACTATGCTTTCTTCCTCTTGTCTCAAGGGGGCGAGCTTGCATTTCCATCCCTTGTCCAAGAGTCTGGATAAAAGCTTTGTTTTGTGTGTCTCCTCGCAGCCCTCGTGCACAGCCAGAGGACAGCATGGCAGCTCTCAGGCGGTTGGTAGGGAACTTGACAGCCACAATGCTGCTGCTCAAAATGGCTCACATATCCTAGCCTTACTCAACAATTTCCAATTTTTAAAAGTCCCTTAAAAGATGTCCCTGCTATCGTATTTATATGTGTAGTTTTGTGGTGGATGTATCACCTAGGAAAAGACAAATTGGCCTCTAGCCGTTGCCAGTAGACGGCCCCTAATTAGCCCTTTTGGGTCCAAAGCTAGAGTTAGTTTCAACCACAGGGAAACTTACTCCTCAGCTTTTTCATACTGAGTTTTTGGAGCTACTCTTTTTTCATGTCTCCTCTGAAATGGAGTTTCCAGGAAATTTCTGCACATATTCTTCTACAGTAGATAGTTGCAAAGCTAGTGCCTCAGAGAGGAACCCCAGATCATAAAGCCACAAGTGGAAAAACTGTAACCTCAGTGTAAATATATCTGTAGGTAATAAATGTGAGGGTATAATGTACTGACCTGGCTATATATTTTTAAGTGACCTTGAGCTATTTAATTTCTCTGGTCTCTATTTTCTCTTTTGATAGTGGTTAGGTGCTCTCTAAAGTTCCTTGCAGATCTTAAATCTTGATCAGTGTGGAATGATTGCAATAAATTAATAAATATTGGGGTGTATAGCTCATGTGTTGGACCAAATGGACAGTCATGTGGGACTTTTCAAATCATCCTTTCTTTAACAGCCAAATTCTTAACTAATCACTTTTTAAGGAACATTTTCCAAGGAGTTTTTTTCCCTCCCCCTGGAGTCTAAAATTAAATCTCCTTTTTTCTTTCATAGAACTGCTTAATTTTAGGTCATAGGTCCATTTTTGGAGGGGTATATGTACCTTTTTCCTCCTTTTGGGACAAAAGAACATTTGATGCTCACCACTCCTTTTTTTTATTATTTGAATCTTCATTGTTGAGAGTATTACATATGTCTCCCTTTTTTCCCCCTCATTGTCCTCCTCCACCCAGTTCCTGCCCCACCCAGGCCTTTACCACCCTAATGCATATTTATAATAATAAAAGTATAATATGCTAATTAGACCAGACAGCCAAATGACCTTCCAGACGTCCTTCTGGACGACCTTCCAGATGAAGCCAGGGCTTCGAGGGCTGAACCCCTTGCACGAATTTCCTGTATCGGGTCTCTAGTATGCATGCATATCAGATCTTAATCTCTTCACACTCCCCTTCCCTATGTTTCCATGCCTCTGATTCTATTTTTAGATTCAGTTGTTGATAAATGTTTTTATTGCCATTTTATGGTTCCTATTTTTTATCTTTCTTCTTCTTATTCCTCTTCTTAAAGAATACCCTTTAACATTTCATGTAATACTGGTTTGGTGGTGATTAACTCCTTTAGCTTATTCTTGTCTGTGAAGCTCTTTATTTGACTTCCAAGTCCAAATGAGAGCTTTGCTGGGTAGAGAAATCTTGGTTGTAGGTCCTTGCTATTCATCACTTTGAGTATTTCTTGCCACACCCTTCTGGCCTGCAAAGTTTCTGTTGGAAAATCAGCTGACAGTCGTATGGATGCTCCCTTGTAGGTAACTAACTGCTTTTCTCTTGTTGCTTTTAAGATTCTCTCTTTGTCTTTAATCCTTGGCATTTTGATTATGATGTGTCTTGATGCAGGTCTCTTTGGGTTCCTCTTGTTTGGGACTCTTTGTGCTTCCTAGACTTGTAAATCTATTTCTTTTACCAGGTAAGAGAAGTTTTGTCATTATTTCTTCAAATAGGTTCTTCTTCTGACACCCTCATAATGCGAGTACTGATGTTTATCTATGCTTCCATCTTGGTTCCCCCCAAACTGGTCATTTCTTGGTTCCTCTTACCACTTTTTTCATCCATATTTTTGCACTATTCACTTCTGTTCATTTTTTAAAAATTCATTTTATTTAAACAAAACAGAAACAGTTCACCCATCATCTCCCCCTCCCAGCTCCACCTCTTGCAACCACCAATCTGTTCTCTGTATCTGTGAGTTAGGTAGGTAGGTAGATTCATTCCACACATGAGAGGTCATGCAGTATTTGTCCTTCTCTGTCTGACTTATTTCATATAGCATAATACCAGTGAGGCCCATCCATGTTGGTGCAAATGGCAAGATTTCATTCATTTTTTGTGGCTGAATAATATTTCTGTGTGTGTGTCTATGCAGAGTGTGGCAAAGTGAGTTTACCAATTCTGTCAGGCCATATTGCTACTCATGTATGTCACCATGTTACTTTATGTTTACTCCGAGGGTGCCTCAGCCACAGGCCTCTTGAGATTGGTTCAGGGCCTGGGCCCGCCTGGAGGAGGGTGCATGACAAGAATCGCAGACTCCATAAAATGTGTAACCTCCACTTTGTGGGCAACAGGACAGTCATTCTAAGAGGCTCGGAATTTTTCTCTTAATCCACCCTGTGAGGCCAGAGATTGTGGGAGCGCTAGACTGACTTGTCAGCAGGGCAGATGGCACACACATATTCATGCGTGAGTTCCTTACTTTAAACACAACAAAGATTCCTAAATAAATTGTGCTGTTAGAATGGATTCCCTTCTTACGGGAGTTACTATTGTGCATTTCCCAAAGTAAATTGAGCCTTTACTTTTCACACACACACTGTTTGTGTGTTGACCATTGTAATAGAAACTGGGAATGCCATGAAGGGTCAGACGAGTAAGATGTGCCCTAAAGAAGACCTGTTGAGAGAGCAAGTAGTGAACCGGGAGTGACCGTGGGTCATGGGACCCGGAGAGGCGTTATCTGTGGGTTAGGCCTGCCCACACCCGTGTTCTTTCTGCTGTTTGCTTGTGGCGGCATTGTACCATGAGGCCTTAAGTGGAACACTAAACGTTTCACTCAGGGATTTTTCCCTGTTGATAGCATTGCTGGCCTTGAAATAGGAAGTCGGTCTTTTTATTCCAGTTCCAGAAAGTGATGCATGTGTCATGATTGTGTTGCCATGGAGCACCTCCTGTTCCTGTCACATCGCACTCCCAACACAATGGGCTGTGTTCCTTCCCAGGAGCTATGAGGTGTCCCTGATGGGATGATCTGAGGAGGAAAACAGAGCTGTGCCCTCCTCCCTCGTTAGCCCCGAGCCTGGTGCTGGTCTGCCTCACGTCAGGCTCTCGGCGGATTGTTTTCCTCCTTGTCTGAGACTGTTTGTTCCTTCTGGTCTCAGGAAAAGGACTTAAATCCTGGCTTTCTTGACCTGTTACTCTAATGCAATTGCGATGGCACCTAAATCTATTCAAAGGAGTTCCTAAAGCTGTGAGAAGAAATACTGTTTGAAGATTGGTACAGACCAGCGGTTCTCAACCTGTGGGTCGCGACCCCTTTGGCGAGCGAAAGACCCTTTCACAAGGGCCGCCTAAGACCATCCTGCATATCAGATATTTACATGACGATTCATCACAGTAGCAACATTACAGTTATGAAGTAGCAATGAAAATAATGTTATGGTTGGGTCACTACATGAGGAACTGTATTTAAAGAGCCAGAAGGTTGAGAACCACTGGTATCAACTGTAAGGTGGGCAGTGCTCTTAGGTCTGCTGTTTAAGTCAAAAGACTGTCCTATAGACTTTGAGAAACAGTTTGTCATTGGCACACCCCACTCCAGTGGAGGTCCTTAGGAGATGCCTGTCCATGGTGAATTCAGATGATGGGCATCTGCGTAGGGTCATAGGTAGAGTGTCTGTAGCTGCTCACTGTCCCTGGAAGAGGGGAAAGGGAGGTAAGCTCCTCAGTGCTTAATAATGCCGAGTTTCCTTGTCTCTGTTTTATTCCTGACCGGGCAGTGTCTGTGCTGCCATGTGTCTGTTTCTTGGCACGGCTCTCCAGGAAGGAGTGGGGGTTAAACAGAAAACAAAGTATTGCCTGCCCTTTTAAGAATATGATCTCCGAACAAATCGTGTTGTTTTTTTAAAGCTTAGACTCCCTCTAGGGGTTATCTAATACCAGCCATTTGTTAGTGGATAAACATGAAGGTGCCCTGAACTTGCCTGATGTGAAAAGTGGCCTCGATCTTCCCTCCTTAAAGCTCTAGGTAGTGGGAGCTGGGAGCAGGAAGGAGGGAGGTACCACCAAGGAAAGGGAAGATGGAGAGCTTTAATGTGGTGGTGGGGATACGGGGGGAGAAGGCAGAAGGATCACTAAACATAAGTCTCTTCACAGCGCCTGCAAGGGACCTGACCAAGCTGTGAAAGCACGGCAGCAGCAGCAGCTGTGGTCGAGCCACGCCATCTAATTCTTCTGGCAGTTGTTTCTCTAATTTGTCATCCATTGCTGAGCATAGAGAAAAGAAGAGGGATATGAAAAGAGCTTTTAATTCTAATAGAAGAAGAAGAAAGGGCTAGTTGATTCTTTTCCTCTGAAAAGGGTTTGGTCACATAACTAGTTTAGTGTAATGGAGGGAGATGATTACACAGATCTATGTGTAAGTTAAAAAGTGGAAGCAGTAAGTATCAACACGAAGCAGATTATTATTGTAGATCACGCAGGGAGAACAAAGGGTAAAATATTTAACTGTCGCAGTGTTTGACTGTTCTGCGCAGTGAGAAAACCTAAAGTCATTTTCAAGGTCCACCATTTCTTCTTTTCAGTTGGGTCAAGTTTCTAAGCTTTCTAAATCTCTGTTTTCCGGCTAGTGAAAAGAAAATAGGATTCTACCAAGTCTCCTATCTACCTTCGGCAGGATTTCTATGAGGATCAAATGAGATGAGGCACGGGAAAACACTTCACAGACATTTGGTTACAGTGTAAAATGTTCCCACCTGGCTATAAAGCCAGTCGTGTTCCTGGGCTGAGGAAACTCCAAGGAGGCTAGTCGCTAGGGAGAGGAAGTCGCATGTTGTTATGTGACATCATTACCTGGAGGGTCAGATACTTAGAATATTAGCCTTTTATATGTATAGATAGTAATTAAAATATTTCACAAATGCATGTCTTTGATTTTTACAGTTTAACAAGGCAACCCTTTAAAAGGGATGCATTATTCCCCACCACCACAAAGCATATGTGTTCTGATGGTCATAGGAGTAGCTGAGCTGAGAGAGAACTCGACTTTGCCAGGGAGAGGAAATGTGTGTGAAGTCTTCCACAGGTGTTTGTAACTTCCATTCCTGAGGATTGTGGCTTGTGAGTCCCCACATTACCTGCCCCAGGAGGAAGACCGTCTTATAATTAGATTAGAGCATTTCTTCTCCATGGAACCTTGAACAAGTTAATCTCTTTTTAAAAAATATATTTTATTGATTTTTTTGCAGAGAGGAAGGGAGAGCGATAGAGAGTTAGAAACATCGATGAGAGAGAAACATCGATCAGCTGCCTCCTGCACACCCTCTACTGGGGATGTGCCCGCAACCAAGGTACATGCCCTTGACTGGAATCAAACCTGGGATCCTTCAGTCCACAGGCTGACGCTCTATCTACTGAGCCAAACCAGTTAGGGCCAAGTGAATCTTTTGAAGTGGAGGGTTTCAGGTAGCTGGAGCTGGAGCTTTGATTTGGAAATCTGTACTGTAGAATATTTCTAAAATATCTCTGCACTTGCCTGGCTCATTAAACACTGAACAATGTTTTTCCTTCTCTTGATGTCTCAGAAATGTCATTATGGCTAGCACTGACTGTTACTTCGCGAAGATGTGCATCAGTGGACACTGATCCTACTAATAGTACAGAAACTTGCATTAAAGAATCACTCATATTGGCCCAGCCAGCGTGGCTAAATGGTTGAGCATCGACCTATGTACCAGGAGGTCAAGGTTCAATTCCCAGTCAGGGCACTAGCCTGAGTTACAGGCTCAATCCCTAATGTGCGGCGTGCAGGAGGCAGCTGATCAATGATTCTCATCGGTGATGTTCTCTCTTTCTCCCCCCTCCCTTCCTCTCTGAAATCAGCAAAAACATATTAAAACAAAACAAAACAAAAACCTGGTTTTAGTCAGTATGGCAGGAGTTGCAACTGAAAGTCAGGTGGAGAAAAGGAAGCTTCTTCTTTTGATACCCATTTAGGGTTGAACCAAGAAAAATGGCTCATCTCTGTCTGTGTACAGTTTGTATAATTGCCTTTGTAGTGAAACACAACAGATTAAGCTTTCTCAGGTTTATCAGCCTGAGAATTGGGGGCATAGAACCATTAGAATTCAGACCCAGAAAACGATACTTGTATGAAACAAAGGTGGTAGCAGTAGGCAGTATTAAATAACTGATGCTTATTCTTATAGCATCCTCCTAGGGGAAGTGGAGGAGAGATGTTACTGCTCGTCCTGTAGAGGGCAAGTCGGAGGGACACGTGTGTCCTGCTCAGTGCTGGACGCTCAAGGGTTGGCCCTGATAGTACTTTATGATCTTATCTGTTCCTTAAACTATCTCCTTGGGTTACCTGATTTGTCCGATGCACTGTCCTTACATAGCTCTCCACCAGCCAGTGCTGCCAGTCACCTGACCCAGCATACACACATCGGAAAAAATGATGAAAGTGTGTGTGTGTGTGTGTGTGTGTGTGTGTGTGTGTGAGTTGTTGTTGTTAATAATCCTAACCCAAGGATATTTCTTCATTGATTTTTATAGAGAATGGAAGAGAGGCAGGAGATCGAGAGAGAGAGAGAGAGAGAAAGAGAGAGAACCATCAATGTGAGACACATCGATTGGTTGCCTCCCACAACTGAGGAACGTGCTGTAGACCAAAATCACACCTGCAGCCCTTTAGCCTGCGGGCTGGTGCTCTATCCCCTGAGCAACTGGCCAGAGCTGAGACGTCTCATTTATTGATAAGGCCCAATGTGCTCATGTCACTCGCTTGTGGTGAGCGGAGTAGAGACGCCCCTTTCCTCCAGTGGGCACCTCTGTATCCAAGAACCCATGGGTGACTGAAATTGGCGAATGAAGGAGCTTCTGAACCTAGATTCCGGCACTAGTTAGGCCTAGTCCTGAGAATGTCGCTTTTCAGACAGCGATGGCTGTTTATTCATTCAAACAGGAACCATTTGTTGAATGCGAAGGCCAGGAACCTGAAGGAAATCCAAAGAAATAGAGCTATCTTGCTCAAGAGCCTTGTGTAACAGATACCCAGCTCACTGTGATGACCAGTGGATGCTTCCCGTGTGACAGGAGTGCTCAGGGCTGGGGCGCCGGCATGGCAGCCAGGTGTGGGATCCAGTCTGAGCGCAGCCATCTGACCTGTGCAGCTGCAGGAGAGGGGGTCCAAGGAGAGGTGAGAAAGGCACAGAGGCCGTCAGGCTGCTGGCTTTTCTCCCAGAGTCCCGCCTGAGAGCCCCTGGGCGCTCTTTATCCCAGAGGCCACTGGCATTTCAGCCTCTGGTGGGGATTGTTCAGGACACCAGAAGTTCCGTCCAAATTAGGCACTTGGGGATTGGCCAGGAAAAAAATCTATAAATATCTGTCTTTTATTACTTCTTTCCCTTTGCCTCAAATGAAGAGGCTTTTTTCTTCTTTTCCCAAGGTTGACTCTTCCATCTTCGTTCCTGGTCCATGTTGACCTTGTTAAAGAACTACTGCTCCATGCCCGGCCGGCGTGGCTCAGTGGTTGAGCTTCGACCTATGAACCAGGAGGTCACAGTTCAATTCCCAGTCAGGGCACATGTCTGGGTTTCAGGTTCGATTTCCAGTAGGGGGCGTGCAGGAGGCAGCCGATCAGTAATTCTTTCTCCCTCTCCCTTCCTCTCTGAAATCAATAAAAATGTATTTTTTAAAAAGACATTTGGTGGAAAGAAAGATTTACAGAACTCAGTTTAATGCAAACTCGTTTTATGAGCTGTGTGCCCTGGGACAGCTGACTTAGACTCTGAGTGCGACTTCTCCTCGTCTGTAGACAATAACATCTCCTGTGAGGAGCACAAGTTTGCAAAGAGACCTTTTTAAAGCTTTGTCTTTTCTTATATTCTCCCATCTTAATTTCCTTTTGCCATTGTTAGCTCCCAGCTAAATTGTCTTAAGGTTTCTTCTTGCAAAGCCTTAGAGCAGCGGTTCTCAACCTGTGGGTCGTGACCCCTTTGCCGGTCTAATGACCCTTTCACAGGGGTCGCCTAAATACATCCTGCATATCAGATATTTACATTACGATTCAAAACAGTAGCAAAATTACAGTTATGAAGTAGCAACGAAAATAATTTTATGGTTGGGGGTCACCACAACATGAGGAACTGTATTAAAGGATCGCAGCATTAGGAAGGTTGAGAACCACTGCCCTAGAGGGTTAAAGCAATGGAGTGGCTTGCTGCTGTCTAGACTGATTTGAAAATTGCAGCTGGTTGCTCACTCTTAAGGCCTTCCTCTTCTCCTTTCACTCTCTCAACCTTGGGGCCTCCAAACCTGGTCAGAGAAATGCCGGACCAGTAGTGCTTGAACCTCTACCCTGAGATTAAAAAGGAAGCCCGAGGTGGAAACAGTGCCTTTGCAGCCATTGTAAATACTGTTCCCCTTTCTCCTGTCAAGTTCCAAACCTCGTATTTTGCGCAGACTGTTATTCTAAGCAGCCTGGAGTTGCTCAAGTGGAGGCTAATGTTTCACCGGTATTCTAGTCAATTTGGCCCACAGATGTGCAGCTCTGAATGACTCACATGTTTAAGTTAATGAAGTCATAGATTGATGAAAATTGTCAACTGTGGCAGACCTCTCCTTCCTTCCCATTTCATGTGAAAAGTGGAGGTGGCAGATGTAATTGTGCAAGAATATACTGCATGTTTTCTACAACAGGTTTTGAGCAGATTTCTCCGTTCCTATGAGCTAGCTATACGTCAGGTGATAAGTACTTCTTAGTCTCAGACTGACGGTATCAGATCAAGAAGGAATGTCAGGTATGCTACAGTGTCCATACTCTCTCAGTGTTCAGTTTTGAAAACCTAAGTCCAGAGAGTCAGCGTCATTGTCCCAGGTCGCTCAGGGAGATAATTGCACACCCCGGAATGGAAAGAACCCTTGGTTTTCACACTCCTACCTCCTTCCTGCT